GACAGAGACGTTGCGTCTATGAAAGGAATGCCGGTGCTCCAGAATTTGGTGCAGAGTGAAGATGTGGTTGATACAACGTCGACCGGGTCTAAAGCCAGCGAGCACTATTTGGTTTCGGCCTCGATTCATTGTGGTCACCACAGAAAAATTCACTCAAATACAACCCCAAATATTTTAGTATGGTCCAACCATGTGGAACTGAACGCCATGCAATGGTTGATACTAATCTCACTAGAGAAATTGGAACGATCGACAGCTTTCGGACACCAGCATTTCATGAACGAAGAAGTAAGCATTTCGCACTAACCTCTTGCTCCTGTACAGAAGATATATTGTTCAGACTGAAGCTACCATCTTCGGGTGAGAACAGATCCCGGCTGAATTGCGGTGAAAGAGTGACACTGGACAGAATCTTTTCATTCGGATCGGAACCGGGCGTGATCAGTTGCGTTTTGGGTGAGTGCGATTCCGGTTTCGAATACACGACTGCTGTGCACACAGCTCCAGTCGGACTGCTTTCTTTTTTCCCTCGGAACACGTTCGTACTCCCCGTGGGGAGTTCCGGACAGGCCTGTTTCAAAGGTGTGTTGATTGCGGGATTACTTGATGGGGATGACGACGAGTTCATATGAGGCAGTAAAATACCCCAGCTGAACACAATAGACAGTGGTGAAAATGCAAAGCGGTAAAACGGATAATTACTCGTCTGCACAAACAAACCACAGAGGTCAATAACGGTGCTCAGAAGAAATGAATTCGTGACATAATGTACACGAAAAAAAAGGATTGCTAACTTGTCACTGATTATCTTTTATTTTTGAAGTCAGTCATTTTGTCGCAGCAAAGAGATCAACCCATGGTTACCGGAATAATTTAGGCAGCTTCATTTCGCCGAGATGCTGAACGGAACGCATCACAGGAGAGAAGAGAATGTGGGAAAACACTAATCGAGATGATCTGGCACTACTCACTTACCTAAAAATCATCGATTCTTATCCACTGTATTCTCTCACCATTCATATATTTGATAATGAGTATTGACGGAACTCAATTCTTTACAGCCTAGGTCAAAGATACCTTCATGCGAATACTTCATGTACACCAGGAAATGAACACGTGGATACAACAGGTGACGTGGAGACGATACATGAATAAATGTACAGAGCGAACAGGTAGGTGACAATGTAAGTGTCTGGCACCTTCCAACTTGGGGTCCAAAAGGCTGCAAGTGGTTGGTTGAAGACAGAAGAATATGTTAGCTAACCGACAGAAGTGGCTTTCTTTTTGTAAGTTCTTATCCGGTCAGAGTGCCTGGAAGGGTGTGTAAAAACAGTTGCGTTGTGTACTCTGTGTGCTGACCATAGAAGTTCACTTTCTTTGCCTTCCTCCCTGGGTGGTGGACGAGTGACAACGTCAGCGAATTATCGCCTCGGAGGACCTAAGTTCAAATCCCACAACCCCCGTCCGACTTTTCCCATTACGTTGTACGGCGGCTCTTTGATTAGTCGCTACTCCCAAATTCACGACATCCATGAGTGGATTTCACAGTGCTGAAGTTAATGATCGCGACAAGTAGACAACTTGAAAATCGGGTTCGCTTTATCCAATTTGTAAGAACGGAAATGATATATGTCGGAAGATTTTAACATCTCACTTACTCTCCTCAATTGTTAAAATATAGCTTTAGTAAAAAAAACAATGAACAGACGGACACAGTCGTGTGGGATATTCAGCTCTGATACTCCGCATCAATGAATATTCACGTGTTTATTTATTCGAAAATTCAAATTTTTAGCATTGTCTGCTTAAAAGATAAGTTTCGAATTTGAAGGAACAACAAACAGATAAACTGACGATGGACAACCCCTTAAGCTTAATACTAGGCGACATAATTATTGGAACGGTTGACATAAGGCGTTCATAATATCCAAATATCCGTATTTAATATGCTTTTTGTGAATGTCACTTCGATTTTTTACGATCGAAATGATTTTAACTATGTAACCTGTTGAACACTGACCATTCCAGTTTCTGTTTCTCTTGAAGAAAGTGAAAATTGTCTAATTGTTTAGATATCAAGATCAGGAGCTAACCAGAGGAAACTTCAGAACGAAATGTTCGCCACGTGGAGCAACATTGAAACTCCTACAGATTCGCTCCCGTGATGTACAAAGAAGGTCTAGTGAAGATTCTGTTTCACCATGCGAAGAATATATACGTGCTCTCTTAATGAACTTTACAAAGCAGAGAGCTTTCTGTGAAAGGCGCTGGTTGATGACGGTCATCCGGAGAAATTTTTAGAAGTGCACAGCGGGCTAAGATCAACCATATCTATCAAGTACCGAGGAAAAGCGCCTTCCCGAGGACTGTCTTCAAAAGCGGGCATCTAATGACTGATGTGCATCAGAAGCTCAAGTCATTTTTCAGTCGAACAGTCTCTGTCGCATAGCTTCGTTCGATACTGCACACCAAGGGAATTGGACTGGATGACCGCAATTACAACAATTTGCCCAATTTCGTCTGGCACCTCGTCCGTCAGACTACTGTCAATTGTAGAATGTGAGGGTCCATAATATCATATCAAATTTCCAAACACAATCCCAAATGGTGACTATAGCCAATGACAAAATCAGTCAAAACGTTAAAATGATGAACGATATCTTCGATCATCAACTGCAAGTTCTCTCATAACAACCGTAAACACCGTTGATCCACTGGTTACGTAATCGGAATAAATACTTGTAGCACTCAGCGAAACAATACTAATCCAGTGCTTAAAACATTTCTGACTCAATCGGTCAAACTGCGGTTTGGTTGACTTTGGAACCAAATTTCCATAAGGATTGGGTTCGTTAATTATTCTTTTCTTTTTTCAAAACTAATTTGAATAAGTGCCAGGTGGTTTTATATTATGACAGCTGAGGAGATTGAAGTAAAGGCTATCATCTCGCAGAACGTGTCTTCCCACTGATCTTACGGTCAGACAATTGTCGATAATCAGGCATAGAAACAAAATCCAAGGAAATATTGCTTCGGAGATGGACATCAATTATGTCGACACCATGGGCGAGAATTCTTTCCATCAAAAAACTCGATATTTCACTTAGGGCGAACAATGAGGAGACGACGGGATCGCAAATCGCATTATTTCTGTGACATATTGTCTATGTGTGGACATGCTACAATTAAAGATCCTGATGCTCAGAGACGCTACGATGAACAGCACGCTGGAGAAAGTCGAAAAATTTCTTTTGCGATACAACATTGGAGGTACATCACAGTCACGAGGATCTGCCATTGCCGTCAGTACCAAAGTGACGAGCTCAAGGACCCCAACAGGGTGACCACAGAATCGAACTGGAAGATAGCGCAACCATTCACTCCCGAAGCCATTTGGAGATAACGGAATTCAAACTTGAAACCTTGGGTTATGCTTGTGGAACAGACCACCAGCGCGAATGTTACTGCGACAAACAAATCACAAAAAGGATCGTTTAACAGGTTGTTTCTCATTTGGTTGATATTTCTAATGATAGATAGATAAATAAAAAACAGAAATGTAGGGTGAGCTTTAGTACCCTTTAGAACTCACCGACGAGCCAGTGACCACGTGGCGGCGGTCCATGTCTTTGTGTTGGTTAGCATTTGATCTTCATCGCCCGCGTAAAGGCAATGCAACAATTCCGTCAGTTCCTCCCGACTCACTCCAGGAGCGAAACTCGTGTCCAAGTGGTCCTGTGAGAGGCGAAGATATTTGTGTAAAGAAAAATGGTTTCAGAACATCAGCAACAAAGTTGGAAATGCTCTCACACCATGATGGACTGGATGCCAAAAAGTCAATCGGGGGCTCATACACTCAAAGCTTTGAACTATGTCTGACGTAAACGTCCATCACGACGAGACTGCAGAAAGGCTTTTGGCGGATCGCATCCAATCCCAGCCAACCGGACGGACAACGGAGATCGCCTACTTCAACTCTGCACGAACCACGGATTGTTCCTGTCAAACACGAACTACTCGCACAAGAAACGTCACCCTCTTACATGGAAACCGCCAACCTCTTCACAACGCTGGACCCAGATCGACCACATCGCCATCAGTTACCGCTGGAGGAGATCAATTCAAGACCGCCGCTCTTACTGGTCAATAGCTGTGGATACAGACCACGCCTTGTTACGAGCCAAATTCTCCCTACGCCTGGCAAACAACCGCATAAAAGCCACCCACAACGGATACACGCGATACAGTGTCAGCGATTCATGCAAATCGGCCTTCGAAGCGGAGCTGTCCGTCAGTTCAACCACCGATCGAAGGACTCAATGAACACTGGAAGCAAATTAAGGAAGTCATGCTGATATCGATAAAAACAACGTCGGACCCTGGCGTCGGTTCAAAACACCAACGATGGATCTCGTCGACCTCAGCTGCCCTGCTGGACGCCCGTAGAACCTTCCCTCCGGACGCCACAGCTCGCAAATCCCTTAAATGCTAGCTCGTCAAGAGTCTGAGGAATGGCCGCGAGAAGTGGTGGATAGGAAAGTGTAGAGAGATGGAAAAGGGCGCGGTTATCGGCAAAAGTCGCAATCTTTTTCGTCTAATTTGGAATACAGGCCCCAGGAAAGTAGGCATAAGTGAGGTAATTAAGGAATCCGATGGCACACTGATTCGCGATCAGCAACGCCGTCTTGAACGTTGGGCTGAACACTTCAAGGCTAAGTTCAACTGGCCCCCATCGACATCTTATCTTTCACTCTCCACCTGGACTGGGCCAATACTGCCAGCCGATGCTAGTCCTCCGTCTGAAATGGAGGTTTCTCGAGAAATAAGTTATCTCAAGAGGCGTAGGGCCTCTGGCTCAGATGGGCTGTTCCCATCAGCGTTCTCGGAGTTGACAAAACTCCTGGGCTCAGTGTGGGAGAGGGAAGAGGTTCCAGCTGAATGGTGTCAGTCGGTGATCATACCGATTTACAAGAAAGGTGATAGGTCCTTCCGTAGAGGAATTAGTTTAATCAACATCGTCGCTGAACTTCTCGCTGGCATCATACTCCGCCGATTGTCTG